TTTTTTTTTTTTTTTTTTTTTTTTTTTTTGTTGATGTTACCCTTCACTTAACATGATCACATACAGGTTTTGAGCATCGTTCAGTTCATTTCAAAGAACTATATAAAAATGATATTAACCTGTTAGAAACTGGTTCCGTTTTTTATACTTTTCTCGAGCTTGAACAGTTAATTTGTCTCCTTATAAATTTTTGGTTTACAGAAAAATCGTTGTGCAGAAAAAACCTGTAAAGGATGGAGCAAATTACCTATCTTTAGAAGAGTAACTGTAACCGATTAGGATACCGTAATTAAAGAATGCTACCGTTTGGAAACAATAGCAATCATTATTGTTCTTTTTAAAAGTTATAATCAATTTTTTCCGATCAGATTTATCACGAACTTTCTCAAGCTGTGCTACACTTCATGCCGGTCTCTGATTTGAATTGTATTTTTAAAACTAGAACAGAAACCCGGCCGTTGTGAACAACCCTGCAAACAATATTGCTCAGCCATTAGAAAAAAGTTTGACTGAATGAAAAAGTGCGAGTTCTGTAAAAGGAGAAGGTCACTTCTGAAGGCGCTTCATTGGGCAAACAGTTCAGAATGTCTATTGTCTACTAAGCACCTACAACTATTTTTATATAAGTAATTTTTTGAAAACTCATTTTATCTTTTTGTTCCGAATAAACCAAATCAGTCTTGTCTTATATGGGATACTCCTAATACAAATGAACCGACCTAGGCTGGAATGTTCCGAGGTAGGCTCTCCTCATTAGGAGTCGTTCATCACTAAGAAATTTTTTTTTCTATATTTCTCTCTCCTGTACCACAGACCACTGCCAAAATGCACACTGGTTGAAGCTTAAACGGCGAATGGTTTTGACAGGTTCCATTAAACAAGTTCTTAACAGTTAACAATTATTTTCTGAAAAGACGGTGGTAACAGGGAAAAGTTTTAGGCTGATATTAGAGGCGGGAATATAATAGAAATATTTTAGGCGCTCAAACCAGAAATGAACAAACAATGAAAAAATTTTAAAAAGTAGCATTTATACGGTTATAGACCAAGGATTAGAAGATAGTTTATGTT